CTAGAAAGCATTTCAGTAGATGACTTCATTTCAACCGAGGCTAAAACCAGAGTGAAAACGGTTGATATGCAAGACCTAGGCTTGGAAGTCGAATGGCTGCTCAAGTTTTTTAATCTGGTGGATGCAGATGGGGATGACTATCTGAACAACACAGAGCATGCCAATTTTCTGAAGATATTCCGCGTCCCATTTTCCTCGGCTCTTTTTTCTGAAATAGATACCAACAGCGACGGGGCTTTAAGTAAAGGTGAAATGATAATAAAGGGGTTAGCCTGGGTGATAGAAAACGGTTGGGAGGGGGCGGATTTTTACGGGAAAATACGGTAATTCCACGTCTACCATTTTGTTGCAACGGGCTACATAAAGCGCAAAAAAAGGTACGGTTTTCACACATCAGAGAAAAAATATCTTCACTCCAAAAATGAAATAGATTTTTAAATATGTAATAAATCATGTTTTATCAGTTTTTGATCGTTAGCAAAAATGCAATTGCTGCTTGTGTAAAAACTGGATACACGAACGTAATGAGGAATACACGGACATGCATGCAGGCAGACAAACAGACGCAAACTTGCGAACAGACTGACAAATATATTGTTAGAGTTACTGCCTTTTAAAATCCGTTTTTTTTTCAGTTGATACTTCTGTTAAAATAATCCCTATAATAAATATTTCTATCTGGCACCAATGGCACGCCTAATAAATTACTTTATGATCACTGAAAAGTGAATTCAGACTTGTCGTAAGAAAAACGCTATGGCGTTTTTAACACGTTCATAACACGTATCCGTATGCGTCAAAATGTCTCGGTATCTCACGTATTAAGGGTTATTTAATTTATCCCTCTGCTGAGCATCGACGACGGAAGAATATTACCCTTGCAAAAAAAAAAAAAAAAACAGTGTCAACCGTAATTATACACGTTGCAACAAGGGTACCCGTGTGTTTAATTTCACTGTAACATAAGTACTAGATAACAGATCGTGTTATTTGGGGGTGTGAGTAGTGGAACATTGACCAACCTAGCGTAACCATTGAAATGCCCCAACACCAATTATTTTTTGGGTGATACATTTTGGTGTTAGGATGCCAGTGGTCACCGCCAGAAACAGTCTACGTCGAATCCGATAAAACGTGCACACCAGCCAACAACTGGCCAATGTCAGAGGTGATTGGAGAACAGTGTTGTCAGAGGTGATTGGAGAACAGTTTGCTAGAATTTAATTCCCAATTGCTCAACAGGATATTGTGATGGTGGCGAACTGGCAGTTGTCAACGGCAACCTTAACGTAGTGGAAAGAAATTTCTGTCCAGAATTTTTGTTTTGGGGTCCATGACCACCCAGTCATGTTTCAGCGTGATACTGCTACTCCACATACAGCGTATGTAACAGTAGCCTGGTTATATATGCCAACCACATCCAGACATCCGAAATTGCCAGCTCAATCCCTACATCAGAAACTTTTCCAGGGGATTTGGGAGGAAAAAGAAGCAGGCAAGACAAAGAGGGAAATGGTGGCAGTTGTGCACAGCGGGACAATCAAAGTTGACAAACATCCCACGAGATACCAATGGCAAAAGAGCTTGATAGCCAAAACTATACGAAGCTGGCACATAATGGCGATGGTGATAATGAGATGGCGATGCAGCTTAAGGACAAAGTACACACGCAGTTTATAAATAAAATAATCTCTTATTTTTCACTGCTACTGCACATACAGCGTATGTAACAGTAGTCTGGTTATATGCCAGACATCCCCAATAGCAAGCTCAATGCCTAGTGTTCACGTACCTTTCCATGCGGGTAGGTATTCGGCTAGTTTTTGTATTGCTGGTTACAGATAGAATTGTGTTTAAGACATCTGGTTTGCTCTATCTTAGAATGTGGGTACCTTCTGATATCAGGGGCTCCTAAAACAGTATACAAAAGTTGAGTACTAGCCCCTGTTGGAAAATATCCAATTTGACTGTCTGTTGTAATGACACTTCCTCTCCCCTACCCACTCCTTTCACGCTGGCTGAGTGGGGGTTTATTGTTGGGTTCTGTTTAGCATTCATAAACCATAGTCACTGTTCATTTAATATAACCCCTGTTACATGTGAAATGTTTCGACATGACAGCAATACCCGACGCACAATCATTCTATAGTGGTTGTTAAGTAAATGCAGATACCTGTATGTTACAAAGTCGAACAACACGCTGCATCTGATCGATAGCAGATGTCTTTTTTTGTACTAATGCCCTCAAGCGATGGGAACGCTTCGCCGTCATAACCAGTATTATTAGCTACGTTTCACTTATTCGTGTTCTGATCAACGACGTCTGAAGAATACACGGAATCGTTTAGAATCAAAAGGTAAATCGAAATGTATTAGTTTTCCATCTTAAATGTATGAGTGCGCTATTCGCTTGTTTTGTTGATTCCATATACACACTGGCTAGCAAGAACACTTCAACAACGGCTTTATGAAATGAGTAAATGTTTTGAGTAATCGAGTAGATTTAGAATGAGAAATAAGATATGCAGGAAAGTTGCTAACGTAATTTCCAGTATCAGTTTCATACATTATATTACTTTATGTAACGTTAAAAACTCAATAAAAATATTACTGTGTCTGTTGCGGGTATATGGTTTGCGGACCAAAGGAACTCAAACGCATATTACACCTTCCTCAAAATTAAAGCTGATTTGTCACTTTGCCACTTTGGGGCATTATAAAACGCGCCATAATGCCTCTGATTATCTGATCTGATTGATATCTTTAACAACCATGCTATATGTCTCTTTCAGATACCCGGACATACGAGCTGTAAAAGGCAAATCCCCAACCATGATGGTCCTCTGTCTACTAGCAATAGATTTTGTTGGCACATAGATGAATACGAATGGTTCCACGTTGGTTTTAGGGATAAAAAGGTATATATGCTTTTTAAAAACGAAAGTAGTTTTAACTAAACCACCATTAAGTTTGTTCTTGTTTATCTCTTTCTTGTAGGGGACAATCACAATATTTTGACATATGTTGAAAGTGAAAAAAATATAAATAATTGCAATTGGAGAAAATTTATTGATGATGATAAGCATTTTTCCTCGCCTGCCCGCTAGTGATTACACGCAGCCTTAAACCTTCACTCTCACTGATAAAAAAAACTGTTGCTCCCCACTCCCCAATTCATTATAGTCACATCTAACACATTACACAGCCAACACAATAGTGTAGTGTCACTGCGTAAAAGCCATCGCATTCCTGACGCGTGCACAATGCTCACACCATCACACGCGTTTGTTTCCTATTATTCCATCAGTAGAAACAAGTCTTCATAGATGTAGCCTAAGGGGACATTCAGAAAAGACGAACCAAGTACTAACTGATCCGCCGCCTAATATGGCCGTCCCCAATTCAAAAGCAATGCAGCTTATTCTTAACTCGCCGGGGTCAACGTCTTCATTTTCAAATTTCTATGCAGGTCCGTTTGTTGTGCCTGTCCAGCTTTTGCAGAAGCAGTGATTGTTTGATGTTAGTATTACTGTGTCAACAGCCACGGTTTAGACTGGATGGCAAATTCTACTACGATGTAATCAAGAAATTTTGGTAACTCTCACCAGTTTCGGTTCTTGTCTGCTTTGTCCACTTATTTGCGTTATTACGTTTTATACACACACACACACACACACACTTTTAAAAACAACCTTACTTTGCTAACATGTTAGAATGTGACATATCAGAATTTCAAGGATTTATCCCGAAGTAATGCCTCCAACAGATCACTTAAAGTCATTTAAAATATCTCGATGGTGAGAACCTCAGATTCATCTTGAAATCTATATATTAATGAAGATAGCTATTTTCAAAGAATGTAAGAAAATTTGTGTTTGCGACATAGGATTCGCACTTCTTGCTATGTTTAATTTTGTGTTTAATAATTTACAAAACATTAATTTCGCATGGCTGTGATAACAGTTATCAGAACACACCAGGGAAAAACTGTCAGGCAATAAAACCACAACCCCAACAAAACAATACATTATTTGTAAAACATACTTCCTCGAACAGTACAATTTACACAAAAATCTCCTTTAAAAAGTAAGTCTTAAATATCTGGAATGTATGTCATGATTACTATATCTTCTACAAATAAACACTGTTATTTTATTTTGATTACTCTGTATTTTATCCGGAAAGGGATGGAATATTTTGCTGTAGCGGGTACAAGAAAACAACTATAAAGAAATGCGCATTAAATAGTAAGATCTCTTCTAACATGTGATCTGCAACAATCGATTGACGAATTCTGATGCCAAGGTGGCGATTATGAAGTCGAAATGCAGAACAGCGGCTGCTGTTGAATACAGAAAAGATTCGACTTCAGTCTCTAGGTTTTTTGAAGGCACGACTTCGTCTGGTAGGACAGAGAGATACACATCCGCTGCCCCTGCAACAAACGCTGTTGCAGACGAAGTTCCACTTTGAACCATAGTTGATGTGTGATTGGTATACCAGTCATTCTTTAGTTGCAACCCCGGAGCGTAAATTTCCACAAAAGAACCACTGTTGAAACTGGATACTACATTGTCTAGCCAGTCTGTTGCCCCTATGCATATTGCCAGCGGTTCACTGTCTGGCGAATACTGACAGGCGTCCCCTCTATTGTTCCCAGCGGCAGCGACGGCGACAATACCGTCTTTTACCAGGCCTTCGACGGCAGAATTAGCAGATTCAGAGAGCTCGGCCAATGGAGAGAAACATTAACCACAGATTTCCGTTTTGTTATTCTAATTTGATCTTGGATCCACTGTATCCCGTTGAGAAAGTCAAAAACTGTTCCAGTGCCGTCTTTATCAATTAATTTCAACGCAATTATTTTGGCGTCTTTGGACACCCCGTATTTTGTCCCACCCAATATTCCGGCCACGTGGGATCCATGACCGTGATCATCGGCCGCCGTAGAGGAAATGGAATGTCCATAAGAGACACGCACTCCAAAATCTTCGTGATCTTTATTTAAGCTGGTATTCACCACGTAAATGTCCACCCCCAGCTGTGTCAGCTGTGGTCATCTTAAATGATGAATCATAGGCAACTGCCAGGTCCACATTGTCCAGTCGATCGAGGTCCTATAAAATATGATGTATATGTTATAATAAAAAGTTTATTGATTTCAGCACATTCAGGAAAGAACTATTACATATTACAACAATGACATACGTTAATAAAAAATGAAGACCTTTACATACATAAAACAGCACGATGAATGATTATATATGCATTTATTTATAGTTTCAGGGGGATCACATTTGGATTTATTGTAAATGGAAAAGTTTCTATTTTCCCAATTTGAATAAAATTGAATGCTGTCACTGAAATAATTAACCAATTTAGGTACTGATCAATATCCCAGCATTTTATCAAATTCAGTGGCCACAATCCTTTTATCGCATATTCTGCAACAGAGCTTACCTGACAAGTATGCGATATATAAAAATAGAATGATATCTAAATCAAACATTTGGCAACAATAATAAATGCTATCAGTTATTGAGAAACCCCTTGAGTTTCGTTTACAGGGGAATAACCTATCTGCTCTTCCAAATTAGGTAACGTTTCTTCATATTACTTATTATCTATTATAACATTAAAAGAAAATCAAATATCATTTATTTAGAATAAAGATAAAAGATTTAAAAACGCGTTTCAAACACTTGAACGAACCAAATTCCTTTGGCCTATTGTACAGAATTTATATTGGCTAGATAGGAAAAACCTTCATGTAGATTGTAGCTACCACGCAGGTAATTACTGGAACTCGAATCCCTTTATATATGGGAGACTCCAAGTACTTTAACCAGAGCCGGTCTTGACCCTGGCCAGGACTTCGCCAACTCACTCAGCTACTGCCATAGCTGAGTGAAGGGACGTGAGTCATTGGGTCCTAGCCTGGGTGCCAGCAACAGTGGTGCCTTGGGTGGAACACAGCAAATGGCTTGGGTTGATATGTGGCTCGCTATGGTAGCGAGGAGGCGAAAACCTCTTTTTAAAAAAAATTTTGTCTCCTATTATTTTTTTTTCTATTAATTTTTATTTATTTATTTATTTTTGTGAATTCTTCAACTAGAGGGTGGCTGTACCGATTAACAATTTCAGAGAAAATCAGAGTACCTAGCAGAGAAGGGTCCAGGATTATTTAAAGGAGGGCGCAAACGAAAAGGTTACCCCCTTGGCTCTGAAGGCACCCATAAAGATTTTGGTATTTTAGAAGGCGAACGCTTCCATATGGTACGGTTTATTACTATGATTCAGCTGGTCAAAATTCGAATTTCAAGAAGGGACCTTTGGTGTGTTTTTCAGAAATCAAGGGAGGGGGTCAGGGGGGTTTCTTCATCAAAAAAGAATACTATACCATGGTCCGTTTCAAACATTAAACAGTCCTTTTGCAAATTGAACGCCGGAAATTGAACGCTTTAAGATTTGCAACTTGCGACTGAATGAGAAAGTTTCTTTTTTCCCAATTTTTTTGAAATTGAATTCTGTCACTGAAATAATCAATTATTCAAGTTACAGATCAATATCCCAGCATTTAATAAAATTTATTGGCCACAATCCACAATCATCGCGTATTCTGCAATAGAGCGTACTTGGCAAGTATGCGATATCTAAAAATAGAATGATATCTAAATCAAACATTTGGCATCAACAATAAATGCTATCAGTTCATGGGAAACCCCTCCAGTTTCGTTTACAGGGGAATAACCTATCTGCTCTTCCAAATTAGGTAACGTTTCTTCATATTACTTATTATCTATTATAACATTAAAAGAAAATCAAATATCATTTATTTAGAATAAAGATAAAAGATTTAAAAACGCGTTTCAAATACTTGAACGAACCAATTTCCTTTGGCCTATTGTACAGAATTTATATTGGCTAGATAGGAAAAACCTTCATGTTGATTGTAGCTACCACACAGGCAGTTACTCGAACTCGAAACCCTTTATATATGGGAGACTCCAACTACTTTAACCAGAGCCGGTCTTGACCCTGGCCAGGACTTCGCCAACTCACTCAGCTACTGCCATAGCTGAGTGAAGGGACGTGAGTCATTGGGTCCTAGCCTGGGTGCCAGCAACAGTGGTGCCTTGGGTGGAACACAGCAAATGGCTTGGGTTGATATGTGGCTCGCTATGGTAGCGAGGAGGTGAAAACCTCCTTTTAAAAAAATCTTTTGTCTCCTATTATTTTTTTCTTTCTATTAATTCTTCAACTAGACCATGTCGTGTCTGAAGCGATTAATAACTTCAGAGAAAATCAGAGTACCAAGCAGTGGCGGCTGCAGGATTATTTAAAGGGGGGTGCAGATGCAAAGCCGGTCTTCTTGGCGTGGGGTTCGGGGTCTGCTGAAGGCCCACCGAAGGATTTTGGTATTTTAGAGGGCGAACTGTGATTTAACTAGTCAAAATTCTAATTTCAAGAGGGGACCATTGGTGTGATTTTTTCAGAAGTCGAAGGGGGGGGGGGGGGTTCAGGTCTTAAATATGACTGAAATAGCCATGTGCACATGTGCAACCAGGTTAAATGACATGTAGCGCTTAACACCTTGGTCGTTACTTAAGGGTGGTGTCATTAAGATTCCATAATTAATTATACTCTTGGTAAACTTAATTGTTATACCCCTGAATAACAACTGTTTGTAGATTAAAGTAAAAATAGACCAAACCCACTTTCAAACACATTTTGGAGCTAATTGCATGGTATAAAAATCTAATACAAAATGGTAACTATGTTTGGAACGGGGCGCTATACCTAAGTTTATTTTAGACACTGTTTCTAGCACAGAATACAAAACTGAAGAGCATCACTTCCAGAGCCCGCAACAGGTAGCGACTCATTAAAAAAACTTGCCGACAAATCCGCTAATAGACACTGAATAAATGTATCCCGTAAGGAAGTATTCAAGTGGGTCGGCCATATTTGACCCTCGAACCAGTTAGTCCTCTATTCTAAATAGGGTCTCATAGTAATCAAATGCAATTTTTAGAATAATTTCTAGCAAAAAAAAAATCATTTCATTTTCTAGACTTTTCACCCACGTTTTAGTGTCTGCGTGTGCCCAAGACTGCGGAGTTACCACGGAGCCGCACAAGCTTCGTTGGTGGGCATCTGATCAAATGAAAACTTTCTACCTTGTCACTGATAAAGGCTTCTTGCATGAATATTTTCCGAATAGGTTTTCTGCACATAGGTTTATGAACTTCAGAAATAAACGGCATTTTTCCTATCTTTCGGCTAATTATCTTTAGTATTTCATAAACTATAAGACTGCAATCTGAAAACAATTGACAGTTTAAAATTTTGCTCATCCAATTACTTGTCTTGAAATGAGGAATGGATATTTGAACGCGTTTACTTTGTACAATTTATTTAAACATCATGTAGTTATTCAAATTTATTTGTTTATCTTACTTATTTCATACATATGTGTCTCCAAATGAAAGAAAACCAGTCTCTAAACCTATAGGTACCGACTGGTAACAGTATCTAGTGTAATAAGGTATCCTTTGTCTTTGTAGTGAATATTTTGCAAAGGTAAACACTATTTGACTTACTTAAAGATTCAGATCATTAAATACATTTGTACAAATAGTATAAAAAACAAACAAACAAAAACATAACTTACAAAACATGATAAAGATACAAAATATCCATACGGAATGCTTTTGTTAGGTTAATGACTATAAAATCTTTATCAGCCCCCTCTTTCTTTGGGGGAGGGGGGTTGTCTATGTTCGAAAAAGCGTCAATCTGCTGGTGATGGTTGAAATTATACCTCGACTCATGTCGGTGTCTAAAAATTAAGGAATGGCAATTATATTTTTATCAACTGCATCAAAATTGCAACAATGGAGTGTTACTGAAAAATAATGTCTGTAGTAATATTGGCCCACCAGCTAGTACACAAGATTCATGGAAAAGTACATGGGATTATCCAGTTTCTGAGTTGAAAATCATCTTTAAAAGAATGAAATGCAATTTCCATGCAAACATGTAGCATTTTTAGACAAACGAATAGAAAAAGAATGTTCTAATTGAATAAAAATAATACAGAATCTTAAAAATTCTTAATCCTAAAAATACCGTCATAGCGTATTTTTCCGGCTTGAAGTCAATTTATTCAGCGTATAATTAAACAAAAATCCATCCATTTCATAAAATTTCCATAAGGTGTCAATTTCAGTCAAAGATAAATTTGTGTAATATGCCTTCCAAACATCCGCAGACGATACTGCAGACATGTTGGAAGTAGGATACTGAAACGTATCTCCTGCACCAAGCATTCTGAGCGCCATATTCATGTCACGATCTAGAGTCTCGTAACGTCCAGTGACGTCATATTTCACGTCACAAGGATTACATAATTTATCATACGTCCTCCAATGCCGGTCAACCGACTTGTCCACTTGTTTCAACGTCAAAATTAAAAATCTTACGAACTGAGTAAAAGAAACTTTCCTCCCATCCACCGTCTCATTAAGTTTGAAATTCCTTTCGATTGCTTGACCAACGGTTCTGGAGTAATATCTATTGTTTCCTTTTTCTAATTTGCTCCGGTATGCCGACACCAGTCGCTCAAGTGGATGCCGGACAGACATCACTTTCAGATAGTTCTCGAGACGAAACCTAATCCCGTAGTCGGAGAATTTCCCCAAAGGCACCAGGTACTTCCTGTAGGAGGCGTGTACAAGACCGCCGTTTAGAGACTGGTATAATTTTGGGTCGACGTTCCTCGTAAGGGCGTACATTAGGCGTAACATATTGGTACAACCCACCTTGGGGACCTCACAGTAGATAAGACCATGGCGGTCGTCCACCTGAAATATAATCTGCCTATATTAACGAGGTTTCCAATCACTACGGAATTATTTCTTTTTGTATTTGAAACATTTCCAATTAAAGACAAAAGCAGTAGTAGATGGTTGGGATGATGACATGAAGTTTTGAAAAAATTTATGTGTAGAGTTGGTTGTTGTTGTTTACAATGTATATTTTCAAGCTGGCGTTTATCCAGTAACCCATTTTGCCAATCTCTTTATGAATATTAACAAGTATTTTCACTTGTTTTCATAATCTCCCTCGCCCTCTTCTCTCTCTCTCTCTCTCTCTCTCTCAGGATCACAGATTGATTTTTCATTAGATATTCACGGATATGTATCTGGCTAATTCGTAACACAAATCTCTCGCACAAGAAAAGAGTGCTCATTAATCTGTAGTCCTGGTGGAGGTCACACTGTGTGCGTGTGTGTGTGTGTGTGATCTTTACACATAGGCTCTAATTGCGGCTTTTTCACTGACCTTTTCTTTACAAACAACACAACCAAACCAATCGCACAAAGCATTTGAAATTAAATAACGATTTCGCACAAAACATACCCATAAAAAGGGTGTAAGAATGTCGCGTATTGCCAGGGTGTCGTAATTCGCCGCCATTTTGTGACGTTTGCACATGGTCGTCAAGTAATTTCTCCTGGTCATGATTTCTCTTTGCCAGGCCACTGGCACGGCGTTCCAGTTGGCATACTGAGAAAAAAGACATGGCCAAATTTAGTCTTGGATCCAATTTTTCCATCCAAAAGCAGTCCTCCTCAGTGCAGCAAAGAGCAGTAGAAAAATTTCTGCACATACAGGTATTTTTTAAAACATCTTTTATTTCGTTTTCTTTTGGATGGAAAAAAAATGAATCATAAGACTACATTTTACATTACACATTCAGATGAACTTTTTTTCTAACTTGGCCAAATTAATATAATGCACTTCTCTCAATCTAGGACAGCGCAATTTTTTATCCATGCATCTTCATGTGCTTAACAAAAATTAGTTGTGTTATGCTATTTTTATCAACCTTTGATCTATACAAAAATTGAGACAATAAACTAAAACAATTCATTAAAATAGTTTACCTGTGATTCCACTTTGCCAGCTTCTAAGAAAGAAAAAAATACAAAACATTCTTATATTTGAAACAATCACAGCAAAGTACATCAGACATTCAAGACCACATATCAATCACAATTCCTATTATCAAAAGTCATATATTGAAATACTGTCAATAAATTTGGCTCCTCATATTAGACAAAGTTATATATCAGACTGAAATTGGTAAAGTCTTGTACTTCATTTCAAATATAACATAATTACAATTCTTTATTCACACCTTTACACTAGAGCGAGGTGTAGGGGCCTATAAATGAAGAGAATCATTATTTTAAATCATTAAAATTACAAATACACAAAATTACAAATTATCCAACTTCCTTGTGAACTGAAAAATACCTAAGAAATGTAAGAACTTCATTCTTAACAATGTTGGAACAATGAAGCACTTTTTTTTCTCAAAGGAGACCCTGAGGTATTTAGCCAAACTTATTATCATTGTTATAGTTGAATTGTTCATTAAACATGTGAATTTGTCACAGATGTTTAGCTGCGCAAATCTGACGTTTTGCGTGTCTCAACAAGTCATATAATCCCTTTGTAAATGATAATATACTAGTAAATAACTTAATCTATAACTTAAAAGTCCTAAAATAGCCACATATCTCTGTACAAACCAGATTTAGTTATACATATATGAAATACTTACTGTATCTAAACATGTGTTGAACAGGTGTAAACGACATCCAAATATAGAACAGAAAAAAGAAGTTCAGTAGCACGCAAAATATTCCGACGCTACGAGATGACGGTATTACATGTGAAGTCATCTTGACGTGGAGCGGCACGTGACTGTCACGTGCACTGGTCTGCAGACGACGTATGGCACTGGCAACCCATGCTGGCACAGATGGTCAACCTTATATATGCAGCTGGAATTTAGATTTGATAATTAGATATGATTATATCCATTGTCAAATACAGTAGTCCGTAACGCCCAATATACATTCCCAGTGAAACGGAGCAAAGATAAAAAAGGCCAGTAGGCCTAACATAAAAAAGTAAAAAAAGTAGGTGACAGTACTCATAATTTAATAAACACTCACTGGTTTTAACGTACAGATATAAACATTCATATCCATCAATTCACACAAGCACCCGCATATTTTTGAAAGAGGATTTGTGGTATGCTGGTTCTGTGGCGTGAAATACAGCTCAAACATGTTATTCAATAAAACGCCTTGTAGAAAACTACCGACAAACACGGCACTGTCCGTTTTACTTCTAACTGCACTGTAAAGCGGGTATCAGAATAGAGGTGAGTAGTTTTGAGTATCTTATCATCCTCTATGAATGTTTTCCACTTCTTCTATACTCTTAGTCCGTAACGCCCAATATACGTTAAACGGTAAAATCTACTGCATTAGATCGTTACACACTGATACTGCCCACACCAAAATGTTTTAAAATTGTCCCATGATATAATACTGAAAAACTACAATGCGGATTTCTTACCAAATACCTGATGTCTCTATTCGACTAAACTTCATGGAGGCAAAATTCAACCTAAAGATCTGTGTCACGGATGTCACAGTTGACCCACAGCTGACGCGGTCAACTGGACAGCTGTTAAAGTGGTCAAAGGCATGCATAATTTGAACTGTAGACTTCTTCACGACACGTCTTGTTCCGACAAGCACTGGTGTCTTCCTAACAATATCAGGGCTCCACAACAAGACACAACATTGCCACTAGAACTCAGCAACCACTATCAGACGGATTTCCAATGTCATTGTCTTTATGGTCATAATATAGGCGGAGAAAATGAAGCTGCATCATCCTATTGTTTTTTTTTTATTTTTTTTAATTACATTATCCTGCTGATTTGATTCATGAACCTAGGAAAAGATAAGATCTACGACAAAGGTACAAACAATATACCGTATCAATCTGGCAACGGAAATTACCTCTCATGTAACCGGGGTATAGTGATGAGTCATATCTTCACCACAGATTTTCAGGACAGATTGTTTTCAGATAAAAGTGCTTCGCGGACAGCGCCTTACTCAACAAGTGGATTGCGCAGAGGAAGCGCAAATTCTGAAATACAGCGAGCTTCCAACTCGAGTATCGAGGGGAAGTATTCTCAAAAGATAATATTGTACATGTATATCCTTAACGCACATGTAGAAAAGTTTCTAAAAAACGAAGGTCCTTCTGATCTAATTGTAGTACTCTATAGAAATATGTGAGACCTCACCTAAAATGCAGCAAACATCTAACACATAAATATTGAGCTTCAAAAATCGCAAAAACACTGCTTATTGATACAATATTTTATGTTACAAGAGGTAAGGGATCTGACAAGCAACATATCTAGACTAATTTCGGTTACGTCTAGATATATGAACGACCTTACCTGAAATACCGCAAAATATATGCAGAAACATGAATATCTAGCGGCAGAATATTAATAGTGAACAGTATATTTAACGCACTTGTTCTAAGAGCACTTCCACAGCGTATCAACAAGAGGTCAAGCAACCTCCAGTTTCCGAAAGGGCTCTATACGCGAGCAGTAAAAAGGAGGTGCTCTCCCAAACATATTGTGATCGAGAAGTTACTGTTAACTGTCCATACAAAGAATGTTATCCATACAGTGGCTGAGGGCAGAGACAAATCTCTCTCTCTCTGACACACACACACACACACACACACACACAACACACTTCTCTCTCTCTCTCTCTCTCTCTCTCTCTCTCTCTCTCTCTCT